AACACGCAAAAAGACACTAAGGCCCACTAAGCATGTAAAAGGACACTAAAGCCCACTAAACATGTCTATTATATTTCAGGCCCAAAAGTGAATGAGTATTTCAAGACCCAATATACTTGTGAAGGGACAACTAAGGCCCGCTAAACTTGTATATTATTTCCAGGTCCAATACGAAAGTAATTACCGTGTTTAACCCGTTTTCTTATTGTTCTGTGCGTTTTATACCAAGTATTTGCCAAATTGTGTTAGAAGGACCACTTTTGTAAAAATGACACTCTTGGCCCAATAAGTCAAAAATTTACAATTAAGGCCCAATCTTAGTAAAAATAACACTTTAGTCTCCATTATGTTCAAAACTTGCTTTTATGACTAGGTTTTGGTAAAAATAACATTTTTTAACCCATTTTTGTCAAAATATCATTTTTGGCTTGATTGTTGTGAAAATACACATTTTTCTGGTTTTGAGCTTTTCAGACCTAGTTTTTGGAAAATTTGTAGAAAAATCATCGTAAGTCGAAATTTGGATCCGTAAATTCTGGAAGTTTGGAAATTTTTGTCTGCTTTGTTCACAAATTTTCTAATAATTTTTAATGGCTTCTAACAAGTGTGAAATTGCTCACCTTCACAGTCTGGTCCGAAATTATTTCAAATATGATAGGCAGTTTTGTAAAATTCACCAAAAATTGTAGAAAAATCGTATGAAAACGTGAGGGTAGTCATTTTAAAGGTATAAACCTGAAATTTTTGCATGTAAAACAGTTTTGAAAAATATTATCATTTAGGTGGTCAAAATAGTTCGAGATTGGACCAAAACTTTTCTGTGAAGGGCTGATTTTTGAGTTTAGTTTATAGATCTTGGAACATAACACTTATTTTTTACTATTTTAAGTGTATAAATCCCAGATCTACTAGTTTACATGTATTATATGTGATAACACATACTTTTATCAAGATTTTTATGAAGATCCAAGTGGTAAACTTCATATTCTTAACATATTTTTAGATTTATGAGGTAAGCAACACCTAATCACCAAATAAATCATGTAAAACACACATAGTCATGCATATACACATAGATCTACAAAAGACAACTTGTATTCTCCCCCAAAACAAAGTAAAAACCGAAAATAAGGGGTATGAACTCACTTTGCTTTGATGTTTTTGGTCTTGGATGAAGATTGAGAAGGGTCTCGGCCCTAGAAGCTTTCTTGAGAGGATCCTCGAAAGTAGGATGATTCTAGGAGTATAACACAATATTTGTGATGTTTTGATGAAGATCTAACATAATATGGATTTATCCAAGTTAAAAGTGAAGTATCTTACCTAGTATGTGAGTTGGAGGGACCTTCTTGAGCACACACACCCACTCACGGGTTTATGGAAGAAAATGGGGGAGTTTCTTGAAGGTTTGAAAATGGAGTAGAGTTTGAATGTTCTTTGATGAGGGATAATGGCCTTAGGCCGTGAATATGAAGAGAGAAAGAGAGGAGAGAGGATGAGATGTGATGGTTGCATTGCGACATGAGAGTTGTATGGAAGTTTGTTGGATATTGGCATGGAAATCCACTTTGTAAACATGAGGTGGCACTCTTAATTATCCTTGGCTAATTTGTTTTTTTGTTTATATATATATATATATATGTATATATATATATTATATATATATATATATATATACATTGGGCCGAGAATGAGCTAGGAGGAAAAGAAGTAAGATAGTTTGGGCCATTCCTTGACCTAGTTCGAATTTATGGGGCCCAATAATATTTTTCGACCCATTAGGCCCTTTTATGGGTTTACGGCCCAAATGTGGTGAAGGATTGGGGTTTACGGCCCAATGAAACCCAAGAAGGTAGTTTAAGGCCCAATAACATCATTTATGTGGGTTTTGGCCCAATAAGGCCCATGAAAATGATATGAGACATTCTAGGCTCATTATGGCCCAAATGCTATAGTTTAATGAATATGGGTCCAATTAGAGCCCAAATAGGGTTCCTAGGCCCAAAGTGGTGAAGTTGGAGATTTATTGGTCCATTAGACCCAATAAGAGAATCCTAGTCCATAATGAACTTGAGCCGGGATTTCTAGGGTTTCCAACCCTAGAAATCCCTGTTGTTCCCTTAGAGTACCAGTTATTATACTAGTTGAATGATTATACGAGAGTGGAATTTCCTAGCAAAAATGCTAGTTGTGACAAAATACTAGTATGATTATTTTTATAACAAATACTAATATTTATAAAAATTGTTAACAGTTGAACAAGTTTGTGTTGTCATTGAAAACTAAACCCCTGCTGTTCCCTGATCTTTGCACCCAACTATTTGAAGGATCGACCTCAACCGGCTTTCAATGTTGGGGGCGATCTTCTACACTCCCTCGTCCTGTAAAAGAATTTAGTGCCCATGATTTTGATGATGATGTTCCAATGGAAACCTCAACACAACACGTAGGTGCAAGTGAAGAATCTTCGGGGCGTTCAAAAAATACGGAAGTTGGTGGAAACAAAAGAGTTGCAAGTGCATTAGAAGTTGAAGAGGAGATTGTCAAGCTTGCAAGGTCATTAGTGGAAAAAATGAAAGAATTGAAAGAAGTGAAATTGATAAGGATGTTGATGCATGCATGGAAAAATTGAACAAAATGGAATGAGGAGAAGAAGATGAAAGACACAAGACCGCTCTTTTGCTATTTGGTGAAAGTGCCGATGTTAGGAAAGTTTGGTTACGACTTTCGCATACTAGTTGTGAGTCGTTGGTGATGGGTGCGGGTAGGAAGTACGGTTACCTTTGATGATGGTTACTAGTTTTTTGTTGCATGACTTTTTGTTATTTGCATGACGTTTGGATGCTATGTTTGATGACTTTTTTTGGATGTTATGTTATTGGATATTGAATATGACTTTTGTTATTTACTAGTTTTTGTTATATGAGTTTTGTTACTTTGGATGATGTTTACTAGTTTTTTTGGTGCATGATTTTTTTTACTTTAACATGTTACCTAATTGCTTGTAACAGATCAAATATGGTTTCTGATGGTGAAGTTGTAGCTTTTCTTTTACTTGTGATTTATTGGTTGAGGTCAAACCGGCGTAGGCTAATCAGAATTCATAGAATTAGAGATAATGATTCAAGTGGGTATGCGTATACGCAACATTTGATGTACGGAGACCCTACACAATGTTACAATATGATGCGTCTTACACAAGAGGCATTTGCATTATTATGCAACCATTTTACCCAAAAAAATTGGTTGCAACCTAGTAGGACAATAAGCATTGAAGAGAAGATGGCTATGTTCTTACATGTTATAGGACATAATGAACGTTTTCGCGCGGTTAAGGGAAGATTTCATCACTCCACACAAATGATTCATCAATGTTTTCACGAGGTTCTAACTGCAATGATGTGTTATGCAAAAGAAATTATAGTACCAACAACTCCTAATCCAACAAGACATAACTTAGAACGACATAGACAGTTAAAAGATATTTTTTCTGGAGCAATAGGTGCATTAGATGGAGCTCTTGTACATGCGGTTGTACTCGTTGATCAAAAAATTCGTTATAGGGGAAGAGGAAAAGGAGAATGTTTTCAAAATGTAATAGGAATTTATGATTTTGATATGATATTCACCTTTGTTTGGGCTGGATGAGTTTGAAAAAAGTTGCATTCAATTCGACTTCTAGATTTCCATTTCCTCCACCAGGTTTGTAATCTTTACATAACTTTTATTATCTATCTTCTTTATATAATATGTGTCACACTCATTTGCAGATAAATATTACCTTTGTGATGCCGCATATACAAACACTCGTGAGTTTATGGCTCCATACTGCAATACTAGGTATTGGTTAGCCGATTTTCAAAGAGGCAGACCTTTAACTAGAGAAGAAATGTTCAATTATGTTCATGCTCAACTTAGAAATGTTATTGAGGATGCTTATGGTGTATTGAAGGCGATATTCCCTATCTTAAAACAAATGACTCCTTATCCTTTTACAGTGCAAAGAGACATAGTTATTGCTTGTGTTGCTGGCCATAATTTTATAAGGAAATACAATATAGAAGATGGTTTTTTTATAAATTTTGAGGAGAACACTATGATTACTCCGGACGTCCAAGGTGGGGGAATTGATAGAAAAAACATACAAGACATAGAATGGGGTCCAGAAGCCGTTCAATATATGTGTGTTTTGCTTGATCAGATTACAAATTAACTACTTTCACCTACTTTACATTAAATTATTAGGGTATTTTAAATTTCATTATGTTTTTATTTAGATATTATGATTTATGTTTAATTTACATTTTTTATGACAATTTTTATTTTGATTTTTAAATGATTTGTGTGTAATTTACATGTTGTATGACAATCTGTATGTTTTTATAATTATTCAGCAACTTCATCCATCACTATATATAACACCAGGGTAAAATAGTCATTTTTCATCAGTCAGTATATTCAGTCAGATGTACAATCAAACAACATGATTTCTTACTAATTTATGATTTCTTATCCAGACAGACCTTTCTCAATCAACACTTTCTTAATCAACAACTATCAAACGGGGCCTTACATAATATTTGACAAGTCATCAGACCTTATTCCCATAAATACAATATTAATGAGAAAATTTTCCAATATTGTATAAGAAGAAAATAACAAGTATTAATGAAATAAATACGAAATGGAAAGAAACTAACTAACGTCAATTTGATTCAAAACAAACTGAAGCTACAAAGATGAAATTGACAACAAAATCTTTTAGGAACCCAGTCCACGATTTTCGTATGAACATCATAACTTACTCTTATTATTATTTAGGAAAAGCGAATAAAATCGATATCCATATAATAATAATTTTTTTTTTCTCCAAAAATTTATTCAAAGGCCCAAATTGGTGAATTGGGTTTACGCCTACGGTGTCACTGACGGGGCAAGCAAACGTGGTGATATGGCAAGACGGAGCCCGAGCCCGAGCACTCACCCAGTCATTGTCGTAGCACATCAGTGACGTGGCAAATATTCGGTGCCAGCGAGGCCATCTCGAACGTATCGAAACCACGAATCTTCTCCCTTCACGAATCACAAAAAACCCTACCTGTCGCACTCCCTTGATCCTTTTTTCATCGAATCTGTAACTCCTTCAAAGGAGCTTGAAATCGGCACCAGAGATCCATGGAGAGGATCGTCGGAGATAAGTACAAGTTAGGTCGCAAAATTGGAAGCGGATCATTTGGTGAAATCTTTCTCGGTCTCTCCCTTTTCCATCTCAAATCTTAGTCTAGAAACGAGACTTCATTTATGTTCATGTTTTGTACTGCTTCTCACCACTTCAAATTTGTGTTTTCAGCTACGCATGTGGATACACATGAAATTGTTGCTGTAAAAATGGTAAGATTCAGTTTTAGATTTGAAGTATGCGTTCATCCGTGTTTGTTTTGATTGTTCAAGTTTTTCTATTAGTGTATGATTTTTCCGATTTGTAGCGAGTTATGTATGTAGTTTTCTCTTTTTGTGAAACGGGTTTGATGAATCAACTAGAGCCGATCCGATTTAGGTATGGGTATACCGCAAACAAGGATGGATGAATAAATACCTTTGTCTCATCTCTAATGGAAGAGTCTACTGCTCGATTTCTGGATGATATGGATCTACTTTGTTTGATAGAGAAGAAGTTCACTTTACACACAGTGGATTTGCCATTTGTGTGGCTAGAATGCTATACTTGGAGTGGTTTCATCATTCATGGTTTCTAATGATTTTGGCACACCCTTTCATCATTCTAGCTTTTGGGGAGATCTAACAATTGGTATTATAGCCATGTGATACTTCGATTACTAACCAAACAGAAAAGGCTACTGACACAGAGGAGCTGGAACTGAACTTTTGTTGGTATATATGCGATAGTGTGATGAAGAGGGTAAAAGACAATAGGATGTGTTGTCTAGTATTGCTGATATAAAAGCCACCATGCACATCTTTTCTATGGAAGCATGATGGCATGTCATTCAGAAACTACATTTGTTCACAGTATGGCATTATGTGAAATAGTGTCGCTTTCAATTTTCTTTGTGGTTCTCTCATGCTTTGTCACTTGATATCTGCTAATAGGTGGATAAGATCCATACATAGTGAAGACCCCTTTGTGACTTAAACTTGTATCAATAATCTAATATGCTATATATCCCACATATATTTTTCTTCATACTTATTAAAAGTAATTGTTAATCAGCATTTAGCTAATGAGCAATCAAATTTTACTGTTGTTTTTTTGTAGGAAAATAGGCAAACAAAGCACCCACAATTGCTTTATGAAGCCAAACTATACAATTATCTCCAGGGAATAGGTAAAGTTAATGTAACATTTGCTTTGCTGAAGCACAAATACTTATATTTAATATGTTCTCTAATTCTAATTCTTACTTTCATATCCTGCAGTTGGAATTGCTGGCATCCATTGGTCTGGGGTTGATGTTCAGGACAATGTGCTTGTTCTTGACCTTCTTGGGCCTAGTCTTGAGGATCTATTTGTGTATTGTGGAAGAAAATTCTCATTGAAGACAGTTTTAATGTTAGCTGATCAAATGGTAAAATCTTTAAAGATATGCTTTAATTGCCTTTCATTTCATCCATAGCTTTTGTATAACAAATAGTCTGCACAAGTCAATTTAGTTCTAAATTTTAGTTTGCAATAATCTTTCTACAGCTTACAAGAATAGAACTGATGCATGCTAAAGGATTTCTGCATAGAGACTTGAAACCAGATAATTTTCTCATGGGTCTAGGCAGGAAAGCAAATCAGGTAATTTCCACTGTTATATATCCTAAAACATCACCTTTAGAGTGAATATTATGATGTATGCTTATAGACTATCTACTAACTTCATCAATTGTTTTTATCAGGTCTATGTTATTGATTTTGGACTTGCTAAAAGATACCGTGATCCCACCACAAGTTGCCATATTCCTTACAAGTATGATTGTCTTTTATTATTATTGTGTTCATATCCTTCTGTTTGTATGTTATTGTGTTTTTTCTTATATTTTATTGGTTCTTATATATTTTCTTACCATATATCTATACAGAGCAAACAAAAACTTGACAGGAACTGCACGTTATGCTAGCTGTAATACCCATTTGGGAATTGGTATGCAAACATTGGTGCATAAATTCTTTTTACAATCTCATATTTTATATTTGCATTTTCTCTTATACAATATATATATTTTTTTCTAAATTCAGAACAAAGCCGGCGTGATGACTTGGAGTCTCTGGGCTATGTTTTCTTGTACTTTTTGAGAGGAAGGTATGTGCTTAAATATTTTAATTGTTGTGAAATCTAAAAAAATGAGCTTCTTTATTTATTTATTTTTTCTGCAGTCTTCCATGGCAGGGCCTAAAAGGTGCAACAAAGAAGCAAAAATATGACAAAATATGTGAAAAGAAAGTGTCTACTCCCATTGAGGTATTTGTGAAACAATGTACACAATGTAACTTTTTATTTATTATTTATTATTTGTTTTTTATTATAGGGATAGTTGGCTACTGCTAAAATAACAGTTATATTTAAGTTGTTTTAGTGGACTATGATGCTACAATATATAAAAATTATTTTCAATTTGTTTGACAGGTTTTATGCAAGAATCATCATGTGGAGTTTGCCTCTTACTTCCAATATTGCAGATCTTTAACATTTGATCAAAGACCTGATTATGGATTCTTGAAGCGCCTTTTCCGTGACTTATTTACACGAGAAGGTATACCCTTTATTCATATAATACAATATTATAGAAATTTATCCACATTTATGCTGTAAAATTTGTATAACATTGTATCTGATGTTTAAATCTTGATATTGTTTTTTTGATTAATATGATGGTCTCTACTTATTTCAGGATTTGATTTTGATTACGTATTTGATTGGACAATTTTAAAGCATCAGCAGTCAGAAAAGAATAAACCACAGAATCATTCAACTGTTAGTGTTTTCATTACCATTTACTTTTATGAATATTGAATAATTATTTATTGATTTATATTTTATAATGTGATTAATGTCAGAGTCGAGCAGTTCCTGGAGTGATTAACAGACCAATACCAGTTCATTCAAATAAGCGCCAAGGTACTTCACTTATTTAGGAAATTTCATTAAGATGTTGATTCTATTTATAATTGAAGTTGCATATCTAAACTTTTTGATATGCACATATATTGAGACATGTAATTTGCATGTATTTTTGTCACAAATCGATTCATTGTTTAAGAGATTTATGTTTCTCTTTTTCCCATTAAGTGCGTTCTTTATAAAGTGCCTGTATTTATTTAATTTATCGTTTGGAACATTAGACAATAAAAGGGTTGTTTCTATGTTCAAAAATAAAATACTATTTTCTTTTTTCACAAATATGTAAGTACTTTTTATTTCTTCAACTTATTAATTGAAATAACTCAATCTCAATTATATATTTAGTTCAACAAGATTTTAAGTTACTCAGCAACTAAGGTAATAAATAAAAATAAAAAATCAGTAACATTATATAAGATCAATGTAAGCTCTTTTTATGTTAACGAAATACCGTTTATTTCTTTGAAACCTTGTTATTGGACACTATAAACATAAAAGTTAAGAAATAAATCAATAATAAAGCTTTCTTTTTTACTCTTAAAGAGGCTTTATATAATGAAATCTTTATGATAGGAAAACTTAAAAAGCTTCTTGATTTGCATTCTTGTTAACATTTTTGACTCTTTGTTTACTTTGTCCTTTATTTTAAACCAAAAAATGTTGGTCACCTTTATTTTTTCTACCAAAAATTCAAGACTAAAGATCAAAATAACTAAATATGTCCGTTAAAAATATATATAACATTTTTCTCTTTTTTTTTTATTAGGCCAAACGTTTACGCCAAGTGTGCATTTAGTTGTAATATTGAATTTATTTGGTGAAGATTGAGTATTAGAAGATAAATATTCTTGTACCTTTTTAGCTTTTTAACATTGACTTCTTTCCGCTTTTTCATTTCTTTTTCTTTCTAGGTGCCACTTGTCTAACTCTAATTGGTTTATTCCATTTAACAAGGATTTTGTAGTAAACATCGTGTGACAACTAGTGTATAACAATTAGCGTAGCAACGATCATGATTTCTATAGGGGCATATATGTAAAAAAAGTACGGAAATGGTAGTTAATAAACAGACAAACTTTGCTTATAATTAAATAATTTTTAATTTTTTTAATGTTAGGGGTAAATGATGATTCCTACCAAATTGGAGCAACAGATCGCAGAAGATCAAGCAATATGATGATGACTCGTCCTAATGAAAATATTTCACTCGGGAAACACGTGAGGCTCCTTAATTAAATACACATAATCTCCTTTTTTTTTCTTATCATGCATTTTGGTCAAATGACGATTTTGCCCTTTGTTGATTTTTGCAGTTGACCAGTCCTACACCAAAGGCGTCTACCTCATTCTCAATGGGTGGCAACTTTATCAAACCAGACGAACCAATTGACCCGACAAAAGCAACCCGCGGGTCGACTAGTTGGATCCGATCCTTACACCGTAATCGGTAACGAGAACAGGATCTGGATTTACTTGAATTGGAAATTAAAAAAAAAAAGTTAATTGCTTGGAATTTGGATGCATCTGCTCAGGATCACTTCACATGTAATTTCTTGTTCCAGTTTAAGGTTTGATTGTTATGAATATGATATAAATAGGTTACTAGTTTTTTTTTTGTTTACTCATATCTGGATATTGTTGTATAGCATTTTATAATTTTCTTTTTTTTTTCCTATTAAAGTAGATATTTGGTTGCCTTTGTATTTGTTTGTGTTTCATTTATATTCAGGATCAAGTTCCTTTATATTTTTAATTGTTTATTTAAATCAGAGTCTCTTGATGTTTATTGTGTGAGTTTTAAAATAGGTACCAGAGTTGTTGCGAATGTGTATGCCCTAACCCGTATCAGGTACTTAAAGTTTTTGAAACTTTGCTAAAAAAGTTATTTATTATTATTAACTTTTTTTTTAATGATAAAATGCTTATGATTTTGTATCATCTTTATTATATTATTCAGGTTGTTGTATAAAATAGATGTTAAATGGATTTTGGTGCAAGATGGTGGATTTTGTACATTTATGGTTATGGGTTGGTTGGAGAGCAATTGTGATGCGAGATTTTAAGGTAATTTCTTATTTGGCAATTAAATAATTTGGAATATATGATATGCATATAATTAGGCAATATTAGGTAACAGTCCAAAACTGGGTATTTTTTTTATTGGTGTCGGGTCGGGTCGGGTTGTGGGTTGGTTGATCCGACCCGACCCGACCCGACATGTCAAGACATTTTTTAGTTTGTAATTTAAATGTTATTAGCATGCGAATGCTGATATTTTTTTTGTTTATACTTGAGTAGAAGTGGCAGAATGGCAGGCAAAGGGTTGGAAGATTTGGTTATATATAGTTTTAATTACTCTTACTCCTGCTGAATCAATCGAAAGCTTCAAAATCTTTGTTGATCATGAATGAAATTCGTTGAATGAAGCACAAAAAAAAAAGCGAATGGTTATATCATATCATGATCATGATCATGATCATATGGTAAAATATGACACAATATTGCAGTTGCTTGTGAAGTCGGGTGGCCACATGTACTGCACAGGTGAATTTCCTGTCTTTATTTTTTTTACAACCTTTAAAAATTGTTGTAATCCATGTTTGCATTTTGATATGAGGATCAACCCGATTTATAGTTAACTGGTGAAATTAGGTGTAGGTGTTTAGGGTTTGATTTTTGTATTGGTCTGTAACGATAAAGTTGAATAGTGAAGCAAATCTAGTGAAGCAAGTTAGGGTGTAAACGAGCCGAGCCGAGCTCGAGCTCGGGATTGAGCTGGTTTAATAAATGAGCCTGAGCTCAAGCCGAGCTTTTAACGAGCCAATCCCGAGTAGCTCACAAGTAGTTCAACTCATTTGGTGAGTTGTGTTCTGACCAATATAAAAAAGTATCAACGTTATTAACATCCTAATATTTTAATTTAATGGTGTTAGGCCAAAAAATTCATTCATATCCCTTAAATGAGTGGTATTCTTATTCCATCATTAAATAGCTCATTTAATTAGAACAAATATTGAAAATCTGAAATAACCGCCTGCTTTGCTAAATGGGCCCATGCATTTTGTAACGTGAGTGAGTGGTTATTCGGTGATGAATGTTTGAGAACAAAGGACCACGCAATAGCAAAGAATTTGTGAATGTGTAATTCATAACAGTAGGATTATGTTTAATTATAAATAAGAATGCACTTTTGGTCTCTGAAAAATAACAAAACGGATTGTTCCTAATTTCAGTAGTTTGTGAAATGGGAAAATTAAAAAAAAATAAAACATGCATAGAAATTAAAAATGTAAAAGAAGTTGAAAGTAATTTTTATAAAAATAAATTCGTAAAAAAATGTTGTAAAAGATGTAGAAATTGAGACAAAGTATTTTTCTAAAAAAGTAACTAATAAAAACAGTTGGAATGTTCGAGTAGTTCAGTAATTTATATTAAAATTGCTAAAACAAGTTTATAAAAAACGAAGTGTAAAAAAAGAAGTAAAATAAGTTGCTCTAAACGCAGAATTAAAAAACATTACTAAATTTTTAAAAAACATAAATTGAAAAACAAGATGGGAAAAATCTATAAAAACGAGTGAACAAAATTTATAAAAACAATTAAAGATTAAAATATATAAAAATGAATTTGTGAACCAAATTTGTAAAAGAAAAGAGATAATGACTTAAAAATGTAATATATGTTTCGATTTGTACATA